CATTATTTTGCATTAGTGCATTAATTTGAATGAAATAGTTTGAGAAATAAAAACAAATTTTAAAATTATGATGAAGTATAAGTGTGGTGGTATTACGCATTTCATTGTATTGCATGTTTCGTACTTCTTACTGTCTCAAGTTCTTCTTACTGTAACGACAAAGTTTGTTTTGAGCAAACATTCATAAAAGTTGATTTGATGCAGACGTTCATGTTTAGAGACATGTTTGAAATTAGGCTGTGCAAGCAGGAGAACATTGTAGAGCAGTTGCAGAGCACATAATAGTTTTTCAGAACAGTGATGGGGCCAGCATTCACTTGTTTATTACTAATAACAATACAAGGAGTAATTTGCTATGAAACAGAAATACCAGACTTAAAAATACTTAGAGATGCTAAATTATCAAGAGATCCTAGAAGTTTCCTTCGTGCGAAACGAGTAAGTTTTATTGTGGTACAGGGTGGTGGAAAGTTTGCAGACTTTTGAATTCAAATTGAAAGAAACGTTTGACTGTTGCTTGAAAAAGTAGTCCACTATTGTGTATTTATATCATGATTTCATATATTCAGGATATAAATGCAATGATTTTTAATTGTTTGGTATACAGTCTGTTATATATTATTCTTAATACGTCTGATTTTTTACGTGAATTAAAATATATCTGTCTAATTCTATGTACAGTTTCTATTTGCTATTAAGTTTTACATTTATGATATCTCTCAAAGATCATTAATAACAGTACCAGACATCAATAACTTGTGCATATTGTTAGACAACAGATGCATTTCGTGGCTATGCTTTTACACATTTCTACGGAGTGCAAACCAAAATAAACAATCAGTTTGCGGAATTTCAAATACAAGCTGCAACATTTGCGGCAAATGTACAGCGTGATCGGAACTACTACTTCTTCATCGCTAAAATTTTCAGGCTTTTTCGCACACGTTCTGTGTAAATCTGCATCATTTATTAATTCATTTATTAGAATTAATTATTAACAACATTTCATGACTGAAATGTTAAAATTTAATCATAATAGTTTAAATAGATTGCAAGATTCTGTGAAAACCTTAACACGTTTGAGAAGTATGAGAAAATTCTGTTTCTAGATCTCAAGCATTTATTAGCTTTGAGGTATTAATTAAATCTGAACTATTATTTTATTGAAGAAGAGATTATTGCTTATAAAATACTTTTTCTTCTAGTAAAAACAAGTATGGATAAAATGTGTCAGTTCCTTTTTCGTAACTCATAACTCTTTCTATTTTTCGATAGAAAATAAGCTTTTCAACTCTGAATTCAGTTTAAAAATTCACACCTACAGAGAACTATCATTCCAAAAATGTGGTAAAAAGTTTGTCAGCCTCTTTTTTATTCTACGCAGTCGATATTTACTAATGATTGAAAAGAATTCCATACTTAATTATTTATTATTGCATTACTTTTGATTATTTATTAAATCAGTAATTAATTTGCATAAAATTACAGAGTCCTACATTTTATATTCCACACATTGGGAGTAATAATGCCATCGGTTTTGGGTCTCGTCATGGCAGTATTTGTTTGGCGCTCACTTGTAGAACAAATTGATGGATCAATGAAAGTATATTTTGTGAAGTTATCCTTCTCACTTTTTACTATTATTATTTATTGACTAAAAATGGAACTAATCTTTGTTTTGTTAATTTTTAATAGTTTGAGTGACTACATATTTCTAACAACTGCTTATTTTATTACTTATTATCCCCTAATATTATATAATAATAATAGTATTGTAATTGGTGAATTTCAAGTTATCTTATTTATCATCTGCTTCTACTGAAACCACTTCAGCCACCCCTCGACGGAGTGAAACTGCCTCCTTTGAGAAATAAGCCACCAGGATTTTACGTGCCGATACATCGACGTCCTCTCATTTATTTGCAACTCTTGAAAGAGAAGTGCTATGGGAAAAAGGGCAAATACGTGAGTTTAGCACAAAATCTCCACTTTTGCTAGCTTCACGTTAATGCCTACGAGGGTCAAGGGTTATGCAGTTTTTAGAATTCTGATATTAGATGTAATGAGTAATGAGCTAGGGAAGAAAGGCAGGATGGGTTGAGTACAGAAAAAAAACACTTACGAGAAATATGCCAACAGCAAACAGGAATACAGTAAGAGTTAGGTTGAAGTTAAAAGAAGAAGGAAAGGTGAAGTAAGTGGATTCGGATTTGAGTATCAGAGTATGAATTTCGTAGCATTTCAGCAAGAAAATATACTGCGACGTAAGAAGAGGATCATGCCGAAAAAGAATCAGAGCACTGATAAGAAAGCCAATAAAAAATGAACAAAAAGTGATTATCATTGCACAGAACCTAATAAACGCTAATCTTGTCCAGACGTACGAGCTCTCTCACTTGACATCCGTGTACGCTTATACGCACTCATGCCAGTACATAAATAGTCTGCTATGTGAATGTGTGTGATGCTTTACTAAATTTAAAAGAAAGATAAAGTATACCGTAAAACTGATGACTGCATCAAACTATAAATAAATAGTATTATTTTTCATGAAAGAAAAAGCTGGAATACTACTTTTCACGCAGAATTTAAGTCAGGTCAAAATCTCACAGTATTTGTGTTGAAAATGATATATAGAGCTTATTATTTTATATTGTTTTTAATCACTGATTGCATTTAATGCATTAGCACAGAGCTCTGACATTCTTTAAATGGATAGAAATTGGATTTCGGAATTAAAATTTTAAGTTTATAAATTACGAAGCTTCGTAATTCGTAATCACTGGCAGATTGGTCACTTTTCGGGGTTGTTAAGTTCTTTGATGATTATTCTTTCTTGATAACAAATTACTTTAATAATTAGTGGATTCAAAGTAAATCCCCCGTTTTGTATAAACAGTATTATCGTTGGCTTCTTATATAAGATGACTTTTGAGAAATAATCTTCAAGTGAAGTTTTAGTCTATTAAAAATCGTACTCAGAAATAGCAATGAAGACAATTAATTCGCATTGAATTTTGTCCACATTGGAAGGTAGTTTTGAGATGCTGCGAATGACAAGTTTGTATGTACCAGATTCATGCAGACTTTCAGTATTCCGTAACATTATTCGACCATTTTCTACCTAAAATATGAACTCAATTTAAAAAATAAACTAAAGTGCCAATTTTGGAAAGAGTAAACAAAATAAATTACTACGGTACATTTAAAAGTAATACCATAGAAGTATCAATTTATCGTCTGATCTAGTTACCAATTAATGTGTTCAAGCTAATAAGTCTTAAACTAAATTCAGTTCTGCTAATTCCATTCTTTAGTAGCGAAATAATCATTGCACAACTTATATTCTGTTTTTTTGTATTTAGTCAGAATATATAATAATAATAAATTATGCTAAGTCTTTGAATAATACATTTCTGCTTTACATTCTGCTTACTGGAATCTCTGATCATCAACATATATTCCCATCAGTTGAGAATCAATTAAACTTATTTTCGAGATAACGAATTCAGAGCATATGATTTTTAATAATATTTACAGTAGAAGACGCAATCATTTAAACCAAATCACGAAAACACAAAATTATATGCAAAAACTTAGTATAAAAAGATATAAAAATATTGTGCAGAAACTTACAGTAAATGAAAAGCGTGTATATCTCAAGAATCTGGAAACTGGTCTCACAATATAACGTGTTCGGTTTGGCGACTTCGTTGTATATTCATGAAGTGTAGAATCAAGTAATAATGTTTCAGCCGGTACGTCACGTGGAACAGATATGAGATGTATTTGCATGGGGATATGAGAACAATTCACACAATTTGGTACACAACTTCTAAATAAATGCTTTTGTAAATTAATGAAAATCAGCTAATCAAAAGCTGAAAAAATTGTCTACTGTTGGTTGCATAGTATCTGCTGTTCAAGCAAAACTCGTCAAACAAATCAAACAAATTTAGTATAATCGGATTATCTCAAGTAGGCTAAAAATATAAGGTATTTCTTACTACTGCATGATCAAATTAGTGTTTCTTAAAATGGAACGAAAATGCTAGTAAAGTAAAGTAAACGAAATTGAATTAATATATACTTAAATGTGAAATATTACTTACAGTCCTTCTCGATGGAAATCAGTCGGACAAGGTGTGGACAAGCATTCATAACTTCCCAAATGATTGAAGCATAATTCTTCTTCAGAGCATGGATCATACAAGCACTCATCGATGTCTATACAGTATTAAATTAAATTAGTGGATTAAATTTGAATATAACATGTTATCTAATTCAATAAATATTTATTGAATTCAAAAATAACAAGATCGTACCAATGGCAATTATTTTTACGAGGTGTAAAAATTGAAAATTTATTTAAACTTCAACCTTTACAGTCATTATCTTCGACTTCATAACCTTCCGGACATAAGCACTGATATCCGCCTTCAGTATTTTGGCACTTATACTTACAAGGAAAATCGTATACACACTCGTTAATATCTGAAAGATATTAGAAAATATGAAGATTATTTTCTTTCAAATGAAATTAGCAATAAAATGATATAACAGGATGGTCTATTTTTGCTAAAGTAATTCTCAAAATTAAATGAAAAAATTTTTAATCAAAGCACTATTCAAATTAAATTAACAACTTTTTGAAAAATAAATGAAATCACAGGTTTACAAAAGTTCTCTTCTGTAATGCGACAAAATCTCTAAAAGCTGACATACTCTCACAAATTTTGTTTTAGGTTTTATTAAATTGAAATCAAAGCTACCTTTACAAAACCCGTCACTGTGATGGTAGCCTTCAGGACATATACTTGAATTTTCATTAAATTTAATTGTTTTTGAACTTGTCCAAATTTGAGACTGCTCTGAAGAATTATACTGTATTAATAAACTGAATATACTTTTGCATAATATGAAGTTTAATGATATTTAGGTCTACTTAATTTCTTTCTAATTTCTGTAAGCAAAAATTACTTACCCGCACAATGTTCTTCACTACTTACGAAAAAACCAGTTGGACAAAGGCAAATGTAAGAGCCTATGTAATTCACACATTCTAATTCACCACATGGCAATTCTTCACATTCGTTTACGTCTGCAAGATTAGATTACTTTTTTGATTACTATTCATAATTTTTGCTATAAAAATATTACAATTTCATTTTGTATAAAATCGCAACAGTTTGCATAATGTAAATGCCATCATTTGCATAAATATTCACTTTTGTAAGAGAAAAATAGAAAATGAATATAACGAAAAATTTACATATATTTTTCTTCCAGGCATTCTGCATTCAGAAATTTTTAAAAATTTGAACAAAAAAGTTTTTCAAAAGTATTCATAATGCTAACTGAAGCTTTATTGTTGACGATCAAATAAGCAAACATGGTGCTAACGACGCCTGCTTAATGTCTTTTTCGAATAGGAACTTTTGTAATAACAAAATTTTTTCCTTAAAAATCATTTGAATTTTGAATAGAATTGTTAACCAGAAAGCGATTTTAGCAGATTACTTTAATGAGGAATTAAAATATGCATATTTTTTATAACTTAATTAAGTGCTTTCATTAGTATTTTTATTCCGTAATATCTATTATTCATTTTCTATTTTTCTCTTACAGAGATTGTCATTATTACCAATGCCGATTACTAATAAATACTTATTGCTTTGGTAAGTAACAAAATGATTTACAAAATGCAAACCTTTACAATAGCCGTTGCTATCACGAGTGAACCCTTCAGCACACAATGATGCATCGCATGAAAATCCACCTGCAGTTTAAATCTCTTTCAATAAAAATTTCAAATTTAATTTAACAATTACTAAAGTATTTAATATTACACACAGAATTTCACTGAACATGCAGATTTAAAGCAAATTTTTAGTAATTATAACAAAATTGGACCTTGCTTATTTATACAACGAGAACCAGCCTTGCAATTATGCATGCCAAGTTCACATTCATCAATGTCTTCACAGTCCCCTTGTAAACCACTTTTGTAACCTGTAGGACATGTGCGTTCACATAAATAATCTCCGGCTGTATTAATGCATGAAGACTTATGATGGCATATTTCTCGAGCTGATTCGCACTCGTTTATATCTCAAATATTTCGGTTCATTATCTGTGCAGAAGAATTGAATGATATGTGTAAAGAACATTTGAAAATTATATTCAGAAAATATGATTTTGAGAATCTGTTTATTAATATTCAAGTACCGAATATAACAACTTTTTTTAGAAGCAAAAAATTATTGTTATTTAAATAATTTTCTTAACAGATAGATTATTTCAGTAGATGAAGCGCTAAGACAAGCAAGATTAATCCGCTGAAGAGCAGAATCTCACCAGTGCATACATTGTCCTTCATCCGATAGCCTTTTGGGCAAACACTCCGAAATAATTCTGCCCTACTTAACACATTTGACCTGACGTTATCGCTCACTGCTTTCCGAAATGTAAATTTTATCAGTACTGTTCTTCCTAAACCAATGCTCATTCCTTTTGAAGCATTGTAAGTGATATTTTCGTTCCACCTAAAATTAGCTAAAATTTATATGCTTTTGCCAAGTATAAAAAATAAATACCATAAAAAGATTCAGAACTTGAAATTCTGAATCATTTCATGTGAAATTAATTTCAAATTCTGAATCATTTCATGTAAATTTTTTTTTGAAAAAAATAAAAATTTTCAGAATTTGAATTAAAGGTTACTGATTGATTGCATGATTTCAGCTAAGTATTTTAATATAGCCAAACATGGATGAATGCAATCACAATGCATCTACGAGCATTACAGTTCATGCTCTGTCATTGCAGTACAACTCATTTGGCCATTTTATCAAAATACTATCAGCCCCTTACAATTTATATCCACTGCAACTGCTTGAAAGAATAACTCATTTGTATTAGTTCTCTAACAATCTTATAATTCGATGAGTAAAGGAGAATAGCACAACATTCACGTCAATTTGTTGATGAATTAACTCAATAAAATATGCATTTAATTGAAATGATAACTTACTGAAAAGGGATATATGCCTGATTTTCAGCTCGAAGAATGGCTAATCCATTACCAATAATTAATCCAGGCTTCAGTTCTATCAGCTCTTCCTCTGCTCCATTAATTTGAATATAAATCTAAGTGAAAATAGTTTCATATGCATCCAAAAAATGAAAATGCAAATTTGCATATTATGGTTGAAAAGTGCAAAGTACGTTTTATCACAATTAATTTGGTCAGTCAAAAAAATTTGATTTATAAAGTAAATAATATTTTATGCGAAATTCTCTTTTAATATTAAACATTATATTGTTGCATAACTTCTTGTTTTTGAGCAAAATTTTCTGCACTTCATTACAAGCAGTTAATCTATCAGAATCAGTAGAAACTTTTTGATTTTCTCAGTTTAATATATCTTAATTTACAAATGAGAAACTGCAAGGTTTTGTTATCAAGGTTTAAAAATTTTAAGTGCAAAATTAGTTAGCACGTATTTACGTCATTTTTGATGTGTGGCACTTGTCCGTCGATGTTAACATTAAGTTTTGAGTAATTTTCATTCAAAGTTTGCCATTCTTGATTTATACGTAAATTTTGGCCACTTTCAAAATGATAGTTTGTGATTCGATGAAATTCCATTTCAGCAAGAGATTTCTTTTGCCATGGATTGAACGCAAGCTGAGGTGAAGCCGCCAACATATAACTCAGCAATGTATCTGCGCTGGATTCTGGAGACCCTGAAAATTTTCAAATATCATATATGAAGCTAGTACAATGAAGCTAGCTTACTAGCCATAGAGTAATCTCGCTAAAAAGTTGTTAGCTTTTCAATTTCTTTGTGATCTTCAAAGTTATTCTGCACAAGGAATTGGAATATATCAAAGTTATAAGTGTATTATAACTATCTTTGCTACTTTATATTTCTTTTTTGAGAAATGTTGCTGAGATTTATTATGCAAATTAGCTAAAGTTCGCTGTTTCAATAGTCTTATGGCATTTTATAATTTTTCGCTTCATTTACAACTTACCTTCATTATTAAAGAAACTTTTAGTATTCACTGTCACTACGTTAAATTCTAATTGAGGGTCTACGCTCATCATCACTGCTTCACGTTTTATTCTTTTCCCGTTTACTGTCCCTTCAATTTTGTTGATCACATCTAACGGGCCATCTACAAAATATATTCTATATTTTATGGACATGAAATCACATTTGCACTTAAAACTGAGAATAAAAGCAATAAAAAATAAATTGAAAAAGATTTAGTTAATCAAATTTGATTATAAATTTGTCAAAATTATTCGATAACTAAACTTAATTCTCAAAATAATAATTAGCAGTAATGATTTTAAAAAAGTATTTGTCATGAAATTTAAACAAATTTTCTAACAGCTAAAAAATATAATCTTAGCAGAATTCAAAAAATTTTTGCGCTATTTCTTGCCTTTGATTACTGTCATTGTTCCCTTTTTGAAGAGCTTATTTTTTTACAATAATATAAATACGTGAATTATTACTTACCTCTTACAATAACTTTTACGTCATCAAATGATTTTCCATAACGATTAGATGCAATACATTTAAATATCGCACGATCGGAAAGTAATAATTTCGAGATATGAAGAGAATTATTTATCTAAAACTTTTAATTTCAAATCGTTCAGATAATACTTCAGTTCGTTGAAGAACTGAAAGTTTTCATTAATAACAGTGAAATTCTCTGAGCTCAATCAATTTTTCGAGCTTCATAAAACAGATTTTGCTTCTAAAATCAGAATTACAGAATTGGTCCATCTGAAGTTGATAGCATCATTACTCATTGTATTGAATGATAAAAATTGTATTTCTTGTTTTTTAGTTGTACAGACGAAAAAGTTAAAGTAAGATTTTACGAGTATTCTGATTCTTTCATCATTCTTCACTTTGCCATCATTTTTTGTCCAATGTATTGATGTTGTGAGCGGGTCAAAGTTTGTTATACAGTTCAAAGTTAACGATTCATTTAAATTGGCGAGAATTTGTTTTGGGCTGACGTGTACATGTGGTACTTCCTCTAATATTTGCATTAAATTTACACCGATTTCTCCTTTACCATTTTTTGTGTAGCAATGATAAGGGGATATATCCAACTAGAATATGTTCAATTTGTACTCTCTTATTATTATTATTATTATTGAATAATTTTAATTTATAATTTCTTGATATAGTTTTGAAAAAAATATTAACAGTATTGAATTGAGTAAGAACAAATTTTCAATTTCAAATGTTTGAGATTGAAAATTTCAATTTACTGAAATTATCATTAATAGCAGTGAAATTTTTCGAGCTTAATCAACTTTTCGGACTTCATAAAAACTCTTCCATTTATTTGCTTTAAAGAAGTAATCATTTTTCAATGAATGAGCGATTGAATCAAAAGTTTGATGACTGAATTCAACTGCAAATGTTTACCCTTTGCATGCTGATATTTAACTCCTTAAGTATTATAATTTATGATTAAAATCTGAAATGAATTACCAAATTACTTTTGGTAACATCATAAACAACAAGTGAACCATTCCGCATTATATTAACTTTTCCATTCGAATTGTTTAATGATGAACCAAAGAATTTCCAAACAACGTTTTGATTCAAAATTTGATCATTAAGCATGCAATTTAATAAAGCAACTGAACGTGCGTGAACCTTAAATTGGAACTTAAATTCCAGTCAAAAAATAGTTTCGGTTGAAAAAAACTTTTAGTAAATTTATAAAAAAGGAATAGTACTTTTATCTGAAGGCGGGTGGAGGATAAAGTTGAATCCTCAAAAGTCCAAGTAATACTTTTATTAGAAAAGTAGAATTTTTCAACAATCATATATCATACTTAATAATAAATGAAAATAGAATTGCTGCATAATTATTATTTATACATCACGTCTGCAACAGTTTTCATTAATTTGCTAACTTTTTCCACTTTTCTTCCTTTCATAGTTAACGTGGCGATACTTGTAGCAGCACCAACAGTATTCTGAGCCAAGCAAATATATTCACCTACATCATCGTCACTCTCTATCTTCACGCGTAAAATTGAATGACCTGATGTAGAATATGACCTGTTTTTAATATAAGCTCCGTGTCGCATCCACATAATGTGCGGAGTAGGATGACCGATAGCGCTAAAAATTTTGACTTCTAACTTGTAATAGCATGAATTTTCATTCTCATCACCTATTTGGAGTATTTTTTTGACTAAAAATTTTGAATTTTCACAACTTTTTCAAAATATCTCCACTATTAGTTCATTTTTTATAGCACTATTGAAAATGTGAAAATTGCGTCGAATCTAATAATTTTGATTTAAATTAGTTACTAGCAAGACAAATACCCATCACGCCATTATGAGCATTACTAGTAATTCAGTTTATTGCTATCGACTTTAGTGGCGATCTGAGCAGATCATTGTAGATAACGAGAATGAAGGTAAGTGAGTGACCTGCAGTGAAGGCTGGCAAAACTCCCTGGAGACACTGCCTGGCTTTTTGGAGATCTGGTGAACCGTGGAATTGCTGCAAAAGCAGTATCTCTTGTTTCCCGACCTCCAGGCAGACATTTAATCAATACTCCATTTGTTCCGTTCTCTGGGAGATCCTGCAAGAACGAAACATGAACATCCTTTCTACATGCACTTGTAAAAATTCTCAATGTGATAAAGGCATTTGCAATTGTTTGCATCACTTTCTAATAAATAATATGTGTGAGCAGTGCACAAAATACTTAAACAGTTATTTACTTTCAATTTATATTTCTTGAGATTAAAGAAATCTACAAGTTTTCATACCAAAAGTTAGTTCGAGCAAAAAGAGTGTTAATGTTAATGATAATACTATTAATAGTTAAAGCTGCAATGACACAAATATGTCTCTGACATTAATTATGCTTGCTGTATAATTAGGACCAATCACAGTTTTTTAGCAGTAAATGAACTGAGATGTCAAAGGTAACCAAGAAAGCAGTATGTACAATTACCTGATATTCTTGTTTCCACGGTAGAAAAGTTTTACCGTCTTCAGGAACATCACCACGTGCTGGAACATAAGTTGTCTTGATCGGTTGACCCAACTCATCACATTCCACCCAAATCACTTTGTAATCTTTCTTCGGAACTGGAAAACAATCGTCGAATATGAAAATTTAGCGCTATTCACATTTAAAGTTGTCAGCCTAAAAAGGTCTTTAATTGCAACTTTCTCACTTACATGCAGATCAAGTTTTTCTTGCTTAGGCATAAAATAGATATCTTCTACTGCAATGTGCATCACACATTTAGTATTGACTATTGTATCATTAACTTATAAAGTTATGCATTCAGCATTAACTTTGACATCATTATCAGTTATAGCTATATATGGTTTAGTGAGAATTCTGGAGAACGATCTCGATCCACCGCAAGTACCAATGGAGCAAAAAGGAAATTAAACCTCGTACTATTTTGTGATCATATGAATGTAATTGATATTATCATGTGTTGATATGATAAGAGGTGTTAATGAAATAATAATTAGAAGCAAATAGTTTAGGGTTAATTCACTGCACTGCTTTCTATTCATTAGAAAAAACGAGGGAGATATGGATACGCTGAAAATACTGACGGAAGTGTGGCAATGAAATGCACAACAAGTAACCTTTGACAATAAGTCTTCTTGAACCAATTGCTTGACCTGCATTACTTTTTGCAACGCAGTGATAAAATCCATCATCTTCTGAGCCAACATTTTTGATATGTAACGTTGTGCCGTAAATTCTATACTCTAAAAACTTTTATTTCTGCAAAACTATTAAATATCTTAATTAAAACTAGCAAAGGGTCAAATCGGAGCTTTTATATTAGATACATGTACTACTATAATTTAGTGATATAAAAGCAAAAATGATAAAAAAGTTAAGGCAAACAGCTTCTTACTTTACAATCAGTGCTGATTATGCTAACGAAGATAATGAAAGCTTTGCATTTAAAACTGTTCACTAACAAAATAAAGTTCCATATGGAATTTTGCACAAATTTAAACGTAAAAAATAAAATTTACTCTCTTCACTGCCAATAATATCAATATTTGGCATTTTCATCCAAGAAACCACAGGTTCTGGTGTGCCTGTTGTGTTACACGTTAACGTGACCGTTTCATCAACATTTGCCGTGATATTCATGCGTTCAGGATGAATTTCAGGTGGAACTATACAATACAATTCCAAGTTGAAAATTTGATAAAACTTTTATCGAAATAGTAGCATCAATGGTGTATAACTTGTTAACATTTGAAAAACATAACATCAATACACAAAGTTTACGAAAAAATTTTGAAAAAAATGAGAAATGCTTGGAACTTGACTAACTGAGAACGACTAGATCGACATCTTTGTAGCTAGTACCAGCCCAATTTTCTGCTTTACATGTGTATACACCTGCATCTCTGCTGGAGACATTTGCGAAGAAGGCAGTCGACTTCAACAATTCCGTGTGATCATCCAACGCTGCTGAATTTACGCTATTGTTTTAGTTGAAAAATGTTGCTAAAAGCTTATTTCTACGAATAATTATAAGCATTAGAAATGAAGCATGAAGATCAATTCATTGAAAAATTATTTGATGGTAATGATCGGGAATGCTAATGATTAAACTGACGTGAAATCTTAGAAGTTTCAATTATTTTAATCAATAGAAGTCTTAATTACTCTAATTTAATCTTATTTAATTTAATGGTGATAAATGCATTATTACTTAATTTAAACATTTATAGCTCTATTTATCTTCACGTAAATGATAAATGCAGTAAATCTGCATACTTTGCAGTAAAGCTTTATCATCTTTTAACCACGTAATATGTGGTGTTGGAATGCCAACTGCTTCACACCACATTTCAGCCGCTTGACCACTTTTTACCACAATTCGACGTGGTTTTTCTGTTATTCGTGGTGGTACTATAAATTACATAAGTATTTTATGATAAATTTTCAGATGGTTCAAATTTTTTGAGTATTTAGAAACTTAAACTAATAAAGTGAAACTTAAAAATTTTGATTCAAATAAGTGTTACATTAATTTCCCTTTTCAAATAGCACATTAAATTTGCATTTACAAAATTCTTGCGTCAATTTTTTATCAACTGACCACCAACGTAAAGCTGTTGCTTTTGCGTTGCGTTTCCAGCTTGATTCACTGCAACGCAGCTGTACAAGCCTTCATCGTGAAGTTTGGAATTGTGTATTTTCAATTGAGTTCGATCTGCACTTAACTCTACGTTGGGCTTCAGCACAAGTGGCGCATTATCCTCAAAATTTCTCTTTTTCTTAAAGATTAACTGATCAAATTGTAATTATGATCTGATTTTTTAATTCAATGAAATATTCATTCTTTGATGAAAGAAATTCGGAGAAGATTCTATCTGATTCAGTCTCGAAAAATCCAGCAGGACTACATTTAGAAATGGTCAGATATAATTTTTAGTAAAGAACACCTTTTTGCAAGAAATTTCGTTCCATGAAAAGAAACAGAAGTACAATGGATTAGAAAGTCGAAAGTTTATCTCTTTTTTGTACATTTGGTTTTCACAAGTTCTCACACTTTTGTAAATTCACAGTTTTGTAAGTTTCAAAATTTTGTAAATTTTGGTTTCTAACTGTTTCAGTATGTTTGGTCTTGAGAAGTGCATGAGGCGCCATAACCGTAAAACTGTGCTTTAATTTATCAGTGAAGCTGCGTGTTTGATATGTTAAAGAATTAAGGCTCCTTAAATTACTTTACTTTTCTTGTATGAGTAATTAGAATAAGTTATACCTTAAACCATAAAATTTCAGGAATTTGTCCTTCAATTTCACAAAGTAATAATGTCGGTTCGTCTTCTGTTGTATTAATTGTTTTAATACCTTTTTTTGTCACGATCGGTGGGCCTAAACTATTTTGCATAAATGCATTTCTTCAGCAAGTAATTTATGAGTATTATTTTTTGTACAAAACGAGTAAAAGTTGCAAATGCTAAGAAAGAGTTCAGAAAAAGTCACCAACCAATTGTTTCAACGATATATTCTTTGACGTGTGAGCCAGCGTTGTTCTCAGCTCTGCATTTGAAAACTAAACGTTTCTGTTCAGTGACCTCGTCAACAAACAAAGTTCCGTCTTCCGCTAAAAATAACGAGACCTTTATACTTCTCGTGCAACAGAGATTTGTAGAGATTTATAAAATTTTTTTATTTTATTATTTTTTGAAACTAATCTACTAGTTAAACGACTACACATCTATATCTTAACAAATCTTACATCAAACATAGCCTTGTCACATTTAAAATATTTAACATGAATGAGCAAAAACTTGAAGTATAACCTACCAACGGAGTAAACTTCGTCGTTTTCACCAATTACGTGCTCGTTGACGGACCAGATTATGTCAGGGGATGGGTAACCACGTGCACCGCATTTCAAACTGAACGGAGTACCGACTGGAACAACTGATTCGTTTGGAGATGTTGTAACAATTCGAGGAACAACTGCAATCCATCACTTCACAACATGACAAAAAACTGAGCGTCACTATCAATTTAGAAAACAGTAAATTAAGAATCAAAAAAAATTGTAAAAAGTTACCTAAGACTTCAAGGGTAAATGCTTGTTGTGCTGATCCGGCTTCATTTGTGGCCATGCAGACATACAAGCCAGAATCTGAACTGCGAACATCCGGTAAACGAAGAGTCTGAAAGCAAGTTTTGAAAGATTTGAATCATATATTTTATCAAAAAAAAAGAAGTTGATTCTTGGTTTACAATTATTTTGGACAAGAATTACCTGGTCTTCAATTATATATCTTATTCCAGTTTCAATACGTATTCCGTTTCGTTGCCACGTAACTATAGGCGTTGGTTCACCACTTACGTCACACAAAATCCTTGCTTCTTCACCCTCCACAACTTGTTGTGTGCCACCATTAAGCACCGTTGGAGCTTCTTAAAATGTTTATACCATTAATCATAGCGCTGTCATAAAATTTACAAAATACTTCCTACTTTTGGAAGTAATCACATCTTTTGCAGAAAGAGAGATGCAAGCTACGGTATTTCCGCGCAAGTAATTTAGGATCTGTAATTCATTACTTAAATGAAACAACTAAAAATAAAATGACTTACGAACGATCGCTACGGTATACAAAAGTTCATCTTTTCCCGCAATGTTTGTTGCAACACATTTGTATGCACCACGATCACGTAAATTGATATCACTTACCTATACTCAAACAATAATTCCAACTTACAAGTAATTTATTTGCACGTGAAATCAGCAAATATGAAGTAATTGCTAATTTGTTATGCTCACTGAATCAATAATTTTCCTTCTTGAAATAATAATTTTAATATACTTGTAATTTTATTTTGATATTTTGAAGAAAACAAATTTACAAAATCAATTTGATGAAAAAATAGGATGAAATTGAAGGGAGACCTGAAGATAACGACCACCTTCACCAATTATCACATTTGAATGCGTTTCACGTAGTAACGTATCATTTACATACCTAAAAGCTAATCCAATCCAAGTCTGTCAGAGAAAACGGTAGCCAATATGAAGCATCCCAAACGTAGGTAAAAGTAGTTTCATTCATATCAAGCCAGTGTGATAAAATAAATTTCACTTGTAAAAATAAAAATCGAATTAGTTTTAATTAATGAAATTTATTGCTATATTTTTTAAAAAGAAGCACCAAAATCCTTGATTTTTAGTTTTTCATAACATAATATTTAGATAAAATCAAGTACTATCTAAAATTCTGATGCTAAAAATATTGAATCCAATTTTTAAACTAGCCATGATATTTGTGGTAATGGTTTGCCTCTCACGTCACAGATTAATGTCAACGTTTGAGCTGTTGGTAAACGTGGACTCATCTCGATGTTATCGCGATTAATCATTGGTGGAACTGTAAGAATTTTTCGCAAGTTAATAACCAACTTTAAGTTATATTTGAAGCTTACATCGTATTCAAGTATTGCTAGTAAAAATGAAATTTTTAGATGCAAATTTGAATACTTCAAGATAAGTAAACAAAATTACGCCAAAGAAACCTAAAACATCAACAAGAACAGTTGCAAAGGAGGTGCCAACTTCGTTAACCGCAGTACACGTGTATTCGCCTACATGAGACTGCTTCAGTCGAGGAATGTCCAACCTGGCACCTTTGAAAGAAATTCTTGCTCCTAAGAACACAAAAATATTTTAAATGGGTTGCAAATATCAATATAATGAACTTCTGGACATTTCGCCTCAAAAAAGTGAATTCAGAAATATTTGGTGCTAAGGTAGTCAACAACTTTTTGACTTAATTAAACTAGTTAATATGCGCTTTACTTTTTGAATTCACACTGTGTATTTGAAACTTGTTCTTTCATGCAAAAGTTATTCTAATATCAGAATTCAATTATCAGAACAAAATTTTAAAGAATTTAGTCTTTATCAAAGTAATCAAATCAAGACAAATTTTCTAAAAAGTGAAATCTATGGAAGTGTTTATTATCGAGATTTTATTATAATGTCCAAGTGTAAAGTCACAATGCAGATGTAATGAAAAATAAACGAACCTTCAAAAGATGTAATAAGTGGTTGTCCATCTTTACTCCAAGATATTGAAGGTTCGGGATTACCTCTGACCTCACATTTGATTACTACAGAACTATCGACTGGTTTGACGTTATCTTCTGGATAAATTGATACGGTTGGAAGCGCTAAATGATTGATATTATTTTTATTGATAAGAAATTATTATTGTCGTCGAATTACAATAATGTTTACAGTAGATTATGACAGTATGAAGGAAGAAAAAAGAAAAGGTACTCCAGATATCCAAATTTATTTCATAATGTGCATTTCCAGCGGCATTCGATGCTTCACAAGTCCAAACACCAGCATGCTCAAGTTTTGCTTCCACAATTTCTAATCCTACAAAACATTTGACCCCAGATGATTGGAAATTGCTTGAGCTCCTCAAGAAATACTTTTGAAATTATAATTATGTCCTCAAACTAATTACCACTATGAACATTACAGTTAATTATTAACAATTCTGAATATTGAATTTATTACTAGTAAAAAAGTTAAGATTTATCAACTGTAACTCTTCAAATGACTATTTTTAAAAACGGCGTTGTACACTTCATAGTTTTTGTCGTAAATTTTTTTTTGCATAGTGATTGTTTTTTGCGTCAATATTTCAGTGATTATTTTCAACCAAATTCTGTAGAAATTTGCATAGTTTCTGTACTACAAAAATTTCCAGCATTTAATTAATAATTGAAATAGTTAAATTGTTGTTTGCCCTTTCAACCATGATCTCCGTGTTGATTTTTGATTGCCTCGTAATTATTATCAAAATTAATAACATTCTTTAGGGGATTCTTTTTAAGAGATATAAATTTGCTGAAGTGGTACTTACCTTGTCCATTTTCAATCAGTCGTATACCACTGTTTTTATTGTCCAAGGCAATAATGCCATCTTTCTTCCACCGAATAATCGGTTTTGGAAATCCTGACACCATACACCATAGCGTGATTGGCCGTCCAATAGCAACGTGTGGCTGTGGATCGTTACGACTGTAATCCAAACGCGGAGCTGCTGAAAACGCTCACGTTTAGTGTACGCAGAGGAAAACAGTTACATGAAAAATTTTTCGTTGCACTTATTTTGCTAGAAACTTATAAAAATGTGAAAACAATGAGTTTAAGTCATTAATTTCACGAGCTAGAACATTTTTTGCATAAACGTTTCCTTCAATTTGTAATTCCTTAACAAGTTAAGACAGTAATAAGACTTTGAATCTGTAAGGAAGCGTGCTTTGGCTAAAATCGAAGCTTGACTGCTCCCAAGTCAAGGAAGTACTTGGAAAGAACGCAAATATGTTTTAATTGCTTCAAAATTCATGAAAGTAATAAGAATTTTGCAGTAAGATTGCTTGAAGTATGCTAATTGTTTTTAATTTGTCATAGACGAAAGTTTCATTTTCACGTAATTACTAGCATAAAAAAATGTTTGCACAAATCACTTTTCTACACATTGACAAAAAAAGAGTGTGCCACAATGTAATGTGGCTTGTCAGGAAATTTTTAGTCCGAACGTATTCAAAATCACGCCTTTGGTTACGTTTGTCAGTTTGTTATCCAATAGATTCAGCGTAAAAATAGCCAATATTCCAAAACGTATTACTTAAAAAAATATAGTTACATTCTTTAAAATTTTGTTGCATGTTGACTAATATTTTTTACGCACCAACGTCAAAGTAATAGCCTTAGTGCAGGCAGTATCACTTTCACCATTACTTGCTTGTCTTAATTTTTAAGTATTAATGATAAAAAGTTACTGGTGTTAGTATTGGCATAGAATTAATTTAGAGTAAAACATATAAAGATATAAAAAGAACAAGATTAAATATTTTGCAAGATTTCATTCGTTTCTTCAAGAATTCAAAAATTAATCAAATTAGAGAAGTGAGTTTTTACTTCGTGTAATACTGATTGTTCTTTCCTCTTTATATCTTTTCAAGAGTTCAAATAAAGTTTAAAAAATTTTTCTACTTTTTTAAATAACTGGCAGATTTTTTCGCATTATACTTTGCCAATGCATAAATTAAGAAACATTTTTGGTTTTAGTAGCACACATTTTATGACAGTTTTTTATATAATCAATATTAATAGAGTGATCACTTTAATTTGCATAATGTTCAGTGCACACAAACTGCTAAACTTGCTCTTCATTTCGACTAAAAAAATGCGAAAACAATTGATTGATTTATAAGGTCTAAAAATTTGAATATTTATGCAAATAAAGTTATATGCAAAATCGTTGAACTTTCTAATTCTCACCATTTCTTCTGAATGATTTGCTATGAAAAATTACAGCATTCTGAATAATATTCAATTTTCAGTCATCCAACTCATTTTAATAGTCAATACATTAAGAAAACGGAGAATTAATAGTTATTTGAAGTAACTATTAGCAACAATAATTCAAAATAATTAGTTATTACTCAAAATACCAGCAAATTGATATCTGCCTTGTGCTACATTAATTGGAACAATTTTTATTACCGTTTTATTACTGTCACAATATACTATAACAACAGTTAATAATCATGGCTTCATATGCAAAATGCACAGTCTAAATTTTCAAAATAACACAAATTATATGCATTTTGTGGCAGTGAAAGTACTGTAAAGCATACAACTTTGTAAATAATTGTTGAAAATTTGTTGTTTCCGAAGCACAAATTTCCATAAGGAAGCAGAAGTTAATAATTTCAACGTTAGTTAGCGGTTAGGAACTGCAAATGGACATCAGACTAAGTAAGCGATGAGTTTACATACTTTGCTGATAAGCTTGAACATTTTTCGCTGATAATCATTCCCACAATGGAAGTTAAACTTTTTTACTGCCACTAAATAGCTAAAAAGGCCAAATTCCCGCGTAATAAATAAAGTAACTTTGTGGAATAATCTAAATTAGTTAGTAATAAAAAATCTTCGGGAGCGTAGTTAAAACGGATGCGGACTTTTAATTCGTAAATAAATGAATAATGCAGTACATAAAAAGTGATTAAATTATTTTAAATGATAATTCTCTGTTAATCCTAAAAATGAGCGCTAAAAATTTTATCAGTCATTTTTCATACTGTATATTACTATTTATAAAAAGATTAAAAGAAGTCATAACTTATTTGCATTTCGATTATTTGTTCAATATGCAATTTCAATATTTTTCTAAAAAACAAATTTAATGTAAATCACTCTTGAAGGATTTTTCTTGTACTGCTATATTTGTTCACAGAGTTGCTCATTTTCATTCTTGATAGTTGTACCATGAAGTCCATGGTTTATCAGAATAGTCCGGATCCCAAGGCTGCCACTGACGCTGGAAATGAAGCTTTTTGCCATCCCACGAAGAATCATGACGATGACGATGATTACGATAATGGTGATGATGACGATTATGCTGCCCGAATATATGCTCAGTATTAAAATGCATCCAATTATTGTGGTTTTTCCTTCTGATAGTTTCGGATAATTTGGTTCCAGCACTTGGTTGATCAATTCCAGAACTGTCCATGATCTTTCCCCATTCTTTAAAATGATACTGCCCGTTACCATACTGAAACTTATAGTTGTGGTTCTGGTCATGATCAGCATAAGAATGCAACAAATCATCTTCACTTTTGTATTGGATAGTTTTGCTTGAATGAGTTCCTGCACTGAGTGGATTAATTTCATGACTGTCCAGAATGTTCTGCCATCGTTGAATTTTGTGATGATGGTTATAAGCATTTTCTTGTTGAGCATTCAGATGATCATTCTGACAGCAATTTTTCATTAAAAAATTTACGTTGGGTTTGTCAATACGAGATGATTTTTGCGCAGTTTGTGACCAACTTGTCAAATGATCAACTTCTGAATTTTGTTTGTTGAAATTCATCCTTACATCCTGCGTTTGCAATGTATTGATACCATCATTATAATGTACTTTGTCATAATTTCCATTATGAATCCATTCTGATTCTAAATATTTCCCAAGTTGGCCAATATTCGCTGTATTTATATTAGGTTTCATCCAAGTAGTCAAATTGTTCGTATAAGAAGAAGCTTTCACAGAAATGTTCCAATGATTTTTGACAGAATAATATATGATAGATGAGTTTTGGTTTGTTTGGTACGTCTCAAAATGAAGCCTCTGAGGTTTTTTGGTGGACAATAACCCAGAAGTGATAGCATGCGAATATGGATAAATAGTATATCTTTCTGAATTACTTACAGTATCTGATATTTCACTAGCAGTATGAGGAAAAATATAATTACTAAAATAATCTTTATAAAACTTGTAATTACTATCATCAACTTTACTATTATAATTGTCTACTTGTTGTGGCACAAAAATTTGATCCTTATGTTCAATTAACGTCCTTACGTTATCTTCCTCACCTTGTATATTAAATGATTTTATACTCTCAATATGTTTATTTTCTAGATTTCGACAATATTCAGAATCCAAATGCATACAAAGTATTTCCACGTAGAAATCAACTGATGCTTCACCGGCACGATTTAGTGCTACGCATGAATAATTACCAGCATCAGAAAGTGATGTGCGCACGATTTGTAAACGTTGACCTTCATATGTGATCTAAAATTTTACAATAAATTATAGCAGCAACACATTTGCATATATTAATACTGTATTCACACAGTACTAATATTATAATAATTTAAGTTGAAGAAGTCAGCTTCATATGATGGCCTCAAGTTTCCGTTTTCTCAATTTTTAAGATTAAGTTGAATGATCGCTCAACAAAATACTTATGCTAACTTCAATGTTCGGTAACGAATTTCCGTCAATTGGACGACCATCTTTATACCATAAAATTTCCGTTGGTGTTGTGGAACCTCTCATATGTTTCACAGGACAGAATAACGTGATAGTATCTTTTTCACGTTTTGTGTGCATCTGAGGTTCGATTATTTCCATTACAGGTGGAACTACAAGGAATGGAAAGTCAAAATTGTAATCAAATATTTCTTCGTGATATCAAATTTTCACAGCATAAAGTTGTATATCTAAAGCATACCCAACTGAATAATAATTAAAATCCTACCCAAAACTTCTAAATTGAAGATCTGTTCTACTCGTCCACCTTTATTTTCTGCAACGCAGAGGTACTGTCCTTGGTCACTTACCTTCACCTTTTTAATTCCAAGTGTTTGATTATTCTGTAATAGCTCCAAATAAAGAATTTAACATAACTGAAGTTTTACTCATTATCATGAATTTTGAAATCTTGCAGTGAAAAATGTGATGTTGACTGATCTTTAAATGAAATCATTTATTATTCTTCAAAAAATAACTGAAGCTCACCTGTTCAATGAATAAACGATCATCATCAATTGTTATAGGCCTTTCATTTTTGTACCAAATAACTGAAGGCTGTGGTATACCAGTAACCGGGCATTCCAAATAAATTGACCTTAAATGATAAATTGAAATAAATTTTTGACCCATGAATGATCCTTTCGTCCTCATTACTGACTACTTTTTTTGAGCAAGCTGATGCTTCATAAAAATATAAAAAACAAAAAAGAGACGCAGAAATTTTACAAATTCATAAGATAAATATATATATTTATTGTTCACAAATTATGAAAAATGAAAACGATAATTTATGAATTATCTACATGTACAGTAAATAGTTCACTAAAAAGCAAATAGGTGGATATATAACTGAGAATTAAAACCAAGTTACTTGGCATCAACATATTTCGTGAATTAACTCTAATGCAGTTAACAACCATGATTTGACTACTAATTCTGATAATTTGTTAGTCGATAATCAGAGTTAGATTATGATGATCATTTGATTATTGGATTTAAGTGTTATTATCGTAATTAATGGTTATTTGTGAAGGAACGAGCGTATGACAATATTTAATATTTTTTTGCACACTTAATTGCTGATAAAAAGTGACATTTAGAGATATTTTGAATTATGCAAAATAATGAAAAGCTGCAAAAATAGTGCAAATTACAAGAACTTTCAATGGGAGATTAATATTCCCTTACTTATTTCACTGCAATTAATTTAAATCTTGAAGTACACAGTTGCAAGTGGCATACAAATTAATAGAAAAGCCTTCAAGATGAAGTTTTCTTATCACTGCCACCTAATAAATTTATATTGAATAATAATATCTGTAAAGTATGCTTATCATTTTTTAATTATTACGTGAAAGTAAAATTCTGAAGTATACGGAAGTAAGCAGTAGTTTATTATCAGTGCTGATTTCTTATCAGAAATAAAATCGTTGAATGTAGTACTGACAACACAAATGCAAAATAATGAAAAGCTGCAAAAATAGTGCAAATTCTTGTTATTCATATTGATATCTGAATATATGATTGATGCATAATCTTTAAGCTTATTAAGTCTGACTAGTAACAATACGAACTTTCCTGAAACTGCCAGAGGATTCCCGATAATATTTGAAGTATCTATACTGGGAGGTACAAGAACTTTCAATGTGAGATCAATATCCGCAGAACCCGCTTCATTTTGCGCTTTACACCGGTATTTTCCGCCATCACTCATCTTCACACCACGAATTGTTATCTGCTGTAAAATTCGGAAGATGTAAAAACAGTTCAAAATGTTTAATTTTATCATCAAGAATATTTAATTTTATTTGGATCTATCGTCAAGAACATGAATAAAAATTAAAGAATTTATGTTGTATATACAAGTATTAGTATACTCATAATTATAAGGGTGAATTGTATTCAAAGTTGGAATTCCCACTACAGTCCACTGAGATCGTGTTTTCGCTCAAGACATTAATTAATTAACCAAGTAGAAGTTTTATCAAGTGGAAATTTTATGAGTTCAAAAGAACTGCTAAAGATTTCCACACTTTCTAAAATTTATTAACTTACGCTAATTACACTCTCTTAATTGCTTATTAAAACATTCAAGCACAGCTATTTCAGTTTCTATTACAATTTTAAAACTTATTTACTGAAATTTATGAATAATGAAGAGTTGAAATAAAATTTTTGACGAATGCTTACAGTGACGAAAGTGGCAATATGTAATAAGCAAGCGATTCTTGCTATTCTGCAGTAACTTAAGTCAAAATACATAATTGTAACTTAAGTTATTAACAGTCAAATAGCAAATGAACAGAACTGAAATTGGAAATAGAATACGGGAATGATTAATTACGAATTTCTTAAAAAATTGATAGGAATTCACGTGGCATTTGATTTTACGTTTTTACTAAAAATATACTCTCGTTATTTGGCTGAGCGATAACAAACTGATAAAGTGCATAACTTTTACTACCATTTACCAATTTTCACCTCTGATCACTATTTGAATTTATTCTCATACAAAAATATATTGCGATTTTTTTCTCATACAAAAATATATTGCGATTTTTTTCTGCAGTTCTCATGCAACATCCATTACTCCATTAACTGTACTGCAAAACTGTTTCCACCAACAGAATCACTTTTGTTGATTTAATTGCAAACTGATAGAGCAGACATACATTCCATTTTCTCACACATTATCATTAAAAAAATTGTGATAAAAATGATGATAATAGAAAATGATGTTATTTACAACAACAACAGCTGTTACTATTATTATTATTGCTTAAAATGATAATATTAATAATATTTATTACTATTATTATTAAAAGTAGCAACTATTATTATAATTAAGCTTGTTTTATGTAAGGAGACATTTCATGTAATAGTTTTCACAAATTCATAGGTAAGGTGCATGATTGTGCTAGTACCTAATTTGCCTTCAAGATGTATTAAAATATCATTCACCTGACTGTCTGGTGAGATGTGAATATTCTCTGAGAGATATACAGGTGAATCCCCACGGTACCAGTGGATTTCCGGTTTCGGCTCAGCTTCTACATTACAGTCCATTGTTACTGTTTTGCCAAGAACTACTTCGTATACAGCTTCACCACGGTGATGGAATTTTGGTGGGCCTAAAGCGTTAAGATATCTAAATAAAGACTTTTGTAATAATTAACAAACTTTTTTATTTTCATAATTTTTAAGCAAATAATGAAACTGAAAGACAAGTGACACATTTTTAAAAATTTTGTTTCGATGAAAAAATTATTTTTACAGAAATATAGTACAAAGTTGTAATAACGTTAATACGGATGAGAATTAAAATAGTGGTGATAAAAGCACTAGTCTTAAATATCGATGATTCTATATCAAAATTTTATGATAATAACAAATGGCAGTAGCAATGGTAATAATGTTCTGAAGGCTTGCGAAAGATTCAAACTTCATTGACGTGACCTTTTGCTGGCAGACAAAACGAAAAATTAATTTACCCAAAATTTGATCTTTTTTAAATTAGACTTAATTTTCAAAAATCAAATTTTGAATTTAGGAGATAATATGAGAAGAAAAGTTTACCTATTATTTCAAGTTCATAATTAGTATTCAATATTCCGGCTTCATTTTCCGCAAGGCACGTATAGCGTCCGCTATCGTACTGCTGAAATTCGGCAAATAATTTTGTTAAGAAAAAAGAACTAAGCAAATTTATTATAGTTTCAAGAAATACGCTTAATGGGGAGATTATTTGTCAGATTATTAATAGTTCACTTCAGTTTCAGTCTAATTTTAGGACAAAATTTTTATTATACAAAGTTTTCGTCGCATAATAAAAATTTCGTAAAAATCAGGACTTATTTATTAAATGTATGATGAGAGGGAATCATCATTACTAATAACTGTTTGGCGATACCATAATACAGAAAGCATAATTATTTAATCTGATTGCAGCTTTAATCAAAAATGACCTGTGAAGATCTAATCATTAGATTTGTTTCGCCTGACAAAATGATCCGATCAGATTTAATAGGATCACCTTCATATAACCATTTGATCTAAAAGTAAATCATTACTAATTCATTGCTAAAATAAGTATATATAATAAAACATTTCCGATTTGAGCGTATTAACGACCAAGATACCTTTGGCTTTGGATTACCCTGCACTGGGCACTGCAAGACAACATCATTGCCTTGAACGACACGAGGATTCTGATCTATCTGTTCTTCTATATGTGGCGCTATCAGGACAATAACTGTAAAGCTGGCCTCTGCTTCACCAGCAGAGTTCTTTGCAACACAAGAATAGCTCCCAGAATCTGCTCTGGAATTGAAACATATCACTAATTGTGTCATTCAACTTCAGCAATATTAAATAACTTTGCTTCGAATACTAATTGATACGTTCTGAAATCATTAGTTGAGATTTCTGTCATTACTAATCATAATTTTATCAATTTTAATGAATTTTTAGAAAGAAAATAATTATCAATGCATTAATAAATGAAACAATTTTCGATTTTGATAACCGTTACACAAGTATTATATCTTACTATTTTCAGTGATCCGTACAGTATTCTCTTGATGCATTTTTGTATTTTAAAAAGGCAAAATTAAAAATACATTAATTTAAAAATGCATTTAACTCTAATCAGAAATTTAGAACTGTAAGCAAAAAAAGCAGAAGTTTTAGTACGTAAGAAAGAGCCTCAGTTAATGAAGTATTTTTTAATTGGAATCCATAAAAAAGCGGACTGTACTCATAGAACTATATATTTAATTGTACTGTGAACAAATACAAATCATACTAATCTAATGTATAGACATAAAAATCGAGCAGCTGTTCAAATTAGTTTACTGAAGTCACAAAGAAAATAATCAAATCCACAGTAATTCTGAAATTAATCAAGTGGGACAAATATATGAAAAACCTGCGTGACTTGAGAATCATCATTGTTTCTCCTCGTGGACTTAAGATGATGTTTTTGGTGTCTTCAATTGGACGACCACCACGCATCCAACTGAATAAATTATGATTAGTTTAATAATTTTATTCGAAAACTAATTATTTTTATCTCTGATTTAAGATTCAATTTACAAATTATTTAAGTAATAACAATCTTTTTTTTCAAATCTGATTTTATTTCAAACCAATAGATTTGAGCAACTAAATAGATTCATATCTCTCATATATAAATAATTCTTCAATATCTTACGTTATACTTGGTTCAGGATATCCATCAACTTTGCATTCTAAACGTGTACGATCACCATTTCGAACCCGCACATTTGGTTTCAAGTCACGAAAACGGGGCTTGATGAAAATGTCAACTTCAAAATCAGCTGATGCTTTACCAGCTTCATTGCGAGCTTCACATGTGTATCTGTAAATTCATACTTTTTGCAAATACTCAATACTGTTTTACATTTTTTCGCAAGAAGCTAAAATTACCATATCCTACTTCTAAATATAGTTTTAATGTACAGAAAATGTGATAGGATGATGATGAATAGCTATGTTATCATTGCATAATTTCAGCCAAATTAGACATTTTTCATTTTTTTTCAAAACTGAAATTCAGATTATGCAAACTGTGGAAGGAAAAGAAATTATATCCATCAGTCTTTAATAATTAAAAAACAAAAATTAATGAATAAATAACTTAATTATTTTAAATAAAGTTTTCAATGTTTCACGATAAATGATCAGTGGAACTTTTAAATTTATCAGAATTCTAGAAGCTCCATTTTTTGCTATAATTGCAATAATTTCGTTTAATTTTAATGGGAAACTGCAAAAGACATAAAAACTATAGACTTGATCGAAGTGATCAAATGCGATGTCAGATTGAACTTTGACTTCATAGACCTTTTCAGAAATCTAGCAAGAGATTCATCCTCAATTATCACTCACCTTCCAGCATCAGAGGCTTTAGACGAAGCAATCATATAATATGACCCAATCGTTTCCAGAGGTCGTCCATCTCTTTTCCATACTATCATCGGTTTGGGATTTCCAGTAGCAACACACTCCAAGGTCAAAGCAGTGTTTTCTTTGACCTGAACGACACGTTCACCTTCTATTATCATTGGTGGCACTGCAGAAAAATCACAAATTAATCATACTGAATACTTGGAAACTCCAAATATTATGCAGCTGAAAATGCAGTAAACATTTACAAATGATTTTATTCCGTTCATAAATTCATTGAAAAAAGATGAAATTTTTCGGAAAGTTTCCAAGACAATAGGAAAGCTGAGTGCAAAAGTTAGAAATTAGAATCACCTCACCAATTCTTTCGGAATGGATTTCCGAATAATTTCATGAGCTTGAAGCACTTCATGATTCTCACTAACTTCTGCTTGAAAAAATAGCAATTTTGATAGGAAAAATCAGAGAAGTAAAAGTTTGATTTCTTGAACTTATTCATTTCAATCAAAAAAAGTGAGGTTTGCTGACTTGGAAAGTAATCTAAACTTTATTGCACTGTTTTTAAAAATTTGTAAATAGAGCATTTTATGCTCTTCAAGTAGGCTTGAATTAAGGTTCCAAACTTATTTGAGATCAGTTCAAATCAGCTCTGATAAGTATTTAGAATGCAAAGACAAATTATAATGGTTTTCTGAATGCTTAAAAAACTCTCAAGCCTTACCAAGCACGTGAAGCTGTGTTGTGATACGATGTTCACCCGCGCGATTTGTTGCAATACACGTATATCGTCCAGCGTCACCCACCTGAGCTTCCCTGAACATTCGTATAATTTCTATCTGATCTGATCGTACTAATTAATAAAATCGAACATCTTCATTACAATAAGCAGAATTAGGACATCATAACTGATCAAATTTTTCAAGGTAAGATTCTGTTGTGAAATTAGTTTTGATCAAATTTTTCTGATTCCATTTTTTTCCAAATCATAACTTGCTGTTTTTCTGTCGATTTTAATAATTAAATGCACTTTTTATAAGTTATTATTGCGCGTAAAGATGAAGAATTTGATTTGTCTAATTTAAATTTGAAATTACAGCAATTTTGAATGTATTTGTATTCCAAATAAAAACTTTAAGATGAATGAAAATTATAAAAATTTGCAACCTTATATGAATATAATGCAAATTATTGGATGACTGTGTCATCGCAGAATTGAACTTTTGACCATTTTTGAACCATTCAACTTTTGGTGGCGGCGTTCCACTCACCTCACATCGAATTGTTTGACCTTGACCCTGGATGACCTTTAGCTCATCAGCAGGCGTTACAATTCTTGGTGGCGCTGTAATAGTGCAATTTTTTTGATGTTCACTTATAGTGACCAGTTTACTTCTGTTCATTAATTGACTGTTGCATCAGAATTTATTACAGCTTATATTTATTTTTGTAGAAAACGAAATGAATCAGTGCTGCAAAATGCAACAAGATTCATTGTATCCTTATGAAATTATATTTATTGGAAGTATTCTAAAGGTATTAGTTTAATTTAATTTGTGCAGAAGTTTTTCAGAATCTTTTATTGTTATATTCAAAGAGCGAATATCTGTAGACCTGTGACATGAAGAAAAATGTCAGCTTCAGCTTTTCCAACTTTGTTTGTTGAAATGCAAGAATACCTTCCTTCTTGACTTACTTGTACCTCTTGCAATAGCAACACTGTACCATTATTTAAAATCTGAATTGATATTATTAAAGTTTTGTAAAGATGTAGAAGTGATGTTAGGTACTAAATTGGCTTCAAACAAAATAGAGTACTGACTTCAATTCCAGTTGAGACCAGCAATTTTCATTTTAACTTCAGTAGTTGAGAGTAACAATTTTTAGACCCTTATAATCAGATTACTATGATTAAAAGTAGAATTAAAGAAATAGAAATTAAAAATTGGAATTAATTAAAACTAGTGCTTTTAATTATGTGTTATTAACTAGCAAGACATTTTCGATAGATGCATGGAACTTTTGACTGAAATTCGTTTATCAAAAAATTTGTACTCAGTACACTTGCAGCTTTAATGTCTAATACTTAATAATTTTAAAAATAAAATTATTATATTTGCTTTATAATAATTTCCTTCACGTCTTAGCTTTTATAGCAATAATGCAAAATGTTGGAGCGTTCGTAGCAACCAACTTAACTTTTCATTTACTTTAAAAAAAACTAATTACTGTCAACTTGCATATTTCAAAAATTTGATTGGTACAAATCAGGCAATGATCTCTTACTCAGTAATTTAGGAGAACTGAGCGGGAATAAAAAATACATTGAATGATTACTTGAATCTTATCTGATGGAAAGATAGTGCGACCATCAAATGACCAAACATTATTAGGTGCAGGTATGCCTGTTGCCTTGCACTCCATACTTACTGTTTGATTCAGAACAGATTCAATAGTACGAAATGCTGGTTCGTTGATTCTGGCTGGTACTACAAAGGAAATTATACTCAGACCCGGATAAAGTTATCTTCACACCTCTAACTTTACTTTCAGAATCATCTCGGTATCAGTAGTTGCTAAGCAAAATGCCTAGCACTCCTGAATCACGTCTACCTTTGTCTGAATAATTTTCCAATCTTTTATACATTTCATTAAAATCTGTTTTTCTTTTTTTTTGTTTTTGCTTAAGAAGTGTTTGATAAAAGATTTTAAAGAACACTGACACTAATACAAATAAGCTAATAATTAAAACCAAAGAGTTTCTACTCTGCATAATGCCAGCCTGAATAATGATCAAAGAATTTTTTCACTGACTTCTTGTAATCCAAAAAAAATTATCAGTTTTAGAATTCATTAAGCAAATTATTCATAAACTGCCTGCTAACTTTCAATACATCTCCTATGCATGCTTGTGTCATAAGCATATGCTTATGACAATATCACTTACTTTAAGTGAAATAAATTAGTGCTATTTAAAATTTAAAAAACTCAAATGAGTTAATTTTTTTGAATTAATTAAATCAAGTTCAATTTTTTAATGCTGTAGTGACCAATACTTACCCAAAACCACAACGTCCATATATGCAGTAGCTTCTCCAGCGTCATTCCACGCACGGCAAGCATATCGTCCCGCATCTGTTAACTGCCCATGCATTAAATGCAACTTCAATCCACTTGTTGACAACTGAAAGTTTTTCATTCATTTTTAGATTTAAAATATGTCTCTAATGGTCAGTTTACGTAAAATTGTTTGAATGACACTATTTGAGTTAGCTTAAAAATCGTACATTCAAACTGTTTATTCACTATATTATACAAATTAAATCATTTATTGTGTTATTTTACTAAATAATATTTTAATTATATTATTATTATTATTTTGATTAATTAATTGCTTATTTATTTTGCTAGCAAATGAATTGAGACAAACGTGTTCATTATATAATTCGGAAAGCCAAGCAATAAATTTTGATTCTAAAAGTAAGCGAAAGCTATTCAAAATAAAATCCAATTTTAATTTTTTGAAAAAATTAAATTTAAAATTAATTCTGCTCAAAGATGCTTACTCAGTCGTTGGAATAAGCCAATTTATGCTGCTTAAATGAATATCTTTTCCAAGCAGTAACACAACTAATACCAGAAAAGTGATTATTTTTTAATTAGTTAAGTATGCAAAGTAATCAATCCTTCCAATGTAAAATATTTGAATAAATTTTATCTCTTTGCATATTCCAAACTGTCTTTTCAAAATTTTATCTTCCAAAAGCAGAAGAGTCAACACAATCTACTATTACTTTCAAATTTAAACTAGACCTTGCAATTCTATTAGCATAAAAAACAAAAATCACTTTGAAATTTTGACATCGGGAAGTTCTAATATGTTTCATTTAATTGAATTAATAAGTGCGAATGCGAAGCGCTGCATATTTTTAATTAGTATAATGCTTATAACTACTGAATACCGCCATTCTAATCATTGCTTTTTTTAACATAAACTATTATTGCAAGCATTATGTTCATAGCTTCATTTTTCTGAAGGGAGGGGGTCATTAATGGCGGTACTTTTTTTTTTCAGGGGTCATTCAAAGCTTTGATTACTTTTGTAATCACAAATTTAGAACACAATTTATGCATATATATATATTCAAAATTTGCTAAAATTTTTTTAATTTTGCAAAAACGTTTTATTGCTTTTTCTCACTTATGCTTTTTCCAAATTCTCAAACCAGTCTCTCAGTTTTTCAATTATTTCATTTTTTGATAATTTCATCGGACTATTTTACTCATAACGCTATATTTCCTTGTTTGAGTAAAATTGCTTTAAATAATATTGTTAATAAACGAATTCAAATATAGTGTATTTGTAATTCATCGCCGTCATCTGTGTTACTGAAGATAAAGATTTACTTGCAAGTTATTGGATGTCGTGATAGGCGCATTATTTTTGGTCCACTGTATGTCCACTGATGGGTCATTAATTGGACAAGTTAAAGTTAATGCTTCATTTTCGGCTAATTCAAGCACACGGTGTTGATCTTCCATTTTAGGTGGTTCTTAAATGCAGTAATTACTTTGTTAATAAAGTTTTCATTGATTGGCAACCATACATTGAAAAGTTCGATAAAAATTGAAAATTGGTAAAAATGTTGATGACAATTTTGCTATTTTGCTGCAGTTGAATGACAGATTGAATGAATAATAATTAAAGTTTCGGCACAGCTGCAAAAAGTTCTCTCTAATTTAAAAATATTTAAGGCTATAATTTGTACAAATGCCATTTAGCCATAAAATACAAAATTGCTATGCAAACAGTAATTTATACTATCAAATGCATTTTTTAACTTGCTATTTATATTATTACTGTTTGTTGCACTATATTTTAGAAATATTTACGGTATGAATTAAAAGTTAGATTCAATGTAATATTGCTCAATTAATAATTATCTAAAGTATTATAATGAATGATATTTATAATCGATGAGTCATAAAGATGAGTCATTAAAAGTTTTAAGAAAAGATTGAAAGTAACAAACTGAGGACAGCCACTACGAGGTCTTTTTCCGCGCGACCAGGTTTGTTCTCCGCTACGCATGAATAACGACCAGCGTCATTTTCCGAGGCAGATTCTATGTGCAGTTGCTGGCGGTTATTCATAAACATCACGTCAGTTTCATTAATTCGTTGACCATTCTGAAAAGTAATCTTAAAAACTTTTCTATTTAAATAAAATGATAAATTTCATTCCATTACGATAAAATCACATTTTTTGTACTTTGATGCACATTATCATAAGTGTACTTGAAATTTATTTAGCCTAATTTTAGAAATGAGCTTATAAATCTTCCACTGAGGTACTGATCAAATAAACGTTTCCGTGAAAGTGAAAAATAATCAGTTTAAGTGAAATAAAACAGTTGTAAAAGAAGTAACTAAAGTAGACAAAACATTTAAAGTTTATACTTATTCACTTATTAATTTTAGTTGCAATAAGCATTTCCGCAAATGCATTTTGATAAAGTGTGACAAATACAAACAATGCTGTGAGTAGTTACTTTAGTTAAGTAAGGAAATTAATTAATGGTTGCGAACGGAAAATAAATAACACAGTGAATGGGAACGTCTACCAGATGTAATCTTACGTAAGTGAAAAGAATGACTGATTGTTTTAATTAAAATAATGATTGAATAATTAGTATTCAGACAATTATCACTTTCAGTTTTGCATTTTGTTTGAATATTTGCTTCTGATATGTTTTATTCAGTAATTTAATTTGTATTACTGATGCCATTTTGACTGTAAGTAAAATATTTATTTGAATTTACTTATTTTTTTTAGCTATTGCATAAGAAATAACTTTTTTAGAAGTTTCTTTCAATTAATTGGCTTAAAAAAAGTAAGTCTTTGCGTGTTTAGTTCAAAAAACAGATCAAAACTGATCTATTTTATTTGTTTTCTTTCAACTTTTGATCTGATATATGACTTTTCGTTGAATTTCAAACCAAACTGAAATAATTTGAAAAGTTTCTAAATTTATGCGCACAAAATCTAATCAGTGATAACATACATATCAGTGACATAATTGACAATAGTATGTATTCTTCTTTTGGAGTTGTCCATAAAAATTGAAATCATTTAAAATTTAGCAAATATTTTAAACATTTCAATTATTCAAAACGTTGTTTATTTTTTCACCAATATTTTCACATAGAGTCCTTCAACTGTATAATATTCTCTCATATCAGAATACTTCTTGAATATTTTCTCTCGTTGACATCAATAAATACCTGTATCTCACTTATTGACTTATCGATTCGTTAATTTATTCCAGTACTTATTATTCAGGATTGCTTTGTTACTAGTTTTCGTTAACTTATATAACTTATCCTCTCACATTACTTACTTTCTATAAGCATATTTACCTTCACATAACATAAAAATTTACTAAACGACTTATTAAAAAATTCAAGAAATTATTTTTGAAAATATTTTGGAAAAAAATTTGAAGAACAAAATGATCGTAAAATATGCAAATAATTATACTAATCCTCTATCACTGCTTAGTTCTTGAAAACTTTTAGTGAAAATTTACTTATCAAATTGTAATCAGTGAAAAGGATAAATAATTATAAAGATTCATTAATCCGTCATAATTAATTAATAATATTCTTTGTAAACAAAATAAATGCATACTATAATTATGTTTTTTTCTCATTTTGCTACTTGTTTGAAATTTTTTAAATTAAGTTCAATGCTGATAAACTTGAAATTCTTAATACATGCAAGAAATAGCTGTAAATTCAAGTAACCAAAAATTCTGAGCAAACTGTGAGAATACTTTGATTCTGCTCAAAACTTGCATTCAGATTTTTTGTCAGCGTAAAATTATGAGGCAGAAATTTGATGGAAATGTTCATAATATATCAGCATACTTTACTTTAAATTATTCATGAATATTTCCGGACTATTTTGCTCTTTTGCACTGAAAAATATTTACTTCAGAGGGACTTTTAGGCAAACTTAGACTGAATTTTGACTTAGCATGCACCTCTTTATTCTGAATTTTACTTAAAAGTTGTCAAATTGGGAGTGACAAGTTATATGTCCCTTCTTTATTTTACTTTGCTTTACTTTTTAAAAATCAGATTACTTTATGCTATTCAGCTCAGAAAATAAATGAAGTCAGTCTCAAGCATTTAGAGGTTCTATTCAAGCATGCAACTACTAATAATAACTAATCTCCAAAATGTATTCAGAAATTGATGGAAAATGATTGCACTGAGACTTACTTATTGATAACTTACTTTCTTTTCTTACGCAGTAATCTAGTAAGTACTTACTCACTTACTTATTTATTAAGTAACTTTATTCTGTACTTTCCAATAACTCACTTCCTCATATAATTCCTGTATTGAAATGCACAAATATTTATTACAAATCGTGCAACCTTTTCCGTTTTTTAAAAATATTTGTTTAAGAGAAATTGCAGAGACCACTAATTTTTTGCCACTCACCCCTGAAAGGTCATCAAATGAAGATTTTAGAAAACTGTGACTTGATTTTTTTTCGCCAATATATTTGAGTCAACTAAGAGGGAAGACTTTGAAACGAGACGAATATATTCGGTTTGTAAGAACTGTAGAAGAGAGGATGAAAAAATTTTTACAGTTTCCAAACTAAGTCGATAAGTTTTTTCAAAGTTAAGTCAATTTGAAAGGTCAAGTTTTTATGACAGTTTTGATAATATGCCGTCAGTTTCAGTTTTGTTAATGATTTCTTTTGATCACAAGCTCTAAAAAACTTAATATTTTTTAAAATGAAAGGCTTCGAGAAAATAGCAAAGTGATTAGTTCGTAGAATTAAATTAAGAATATATATTAGAATAGATATATAAGAATTAAGTTTGATCACAATTTTCAAAGATCTAAAAGTTAATCTATTTGGCCGATCAAAATCAGATCTAAAGAGTGATGTATTTGTATTTGAAATATATGGCTAATTACTTGAATCTTTGCTTGCAGAATTCGCTAGTAAAAGTCTTCTGTTGTTTAGCTCTGTGAGAACAAAAAGATATGAAAAATATCTAACTTTTAAAGAAACACAAAAAGTATTTCAAAAATATCACTTCGAAAATGAAAAGAAGAATTGTTGCATAAACTTACTTTTTTTGCAGTATTATTCTTAAAAAAGTGTATTTTTAAAGCAAGATAAATTGCTGAAATTACAACAAAATAAAACTTTTGCAACAAATTGTAAGCATAAAATTTGATAAAAAACTTTGATAAATTTTGCTATTTGTTTATTTATTATCCGTTGCATATGCTTTGTTAGCTAATTTACAACTCTTAAAGTATAAATTAGCAAAGACTTTTAGAATCAATTTTTTTTTCAAAATTAAGTCAAGAAAAATTGCAAAAACTTAACTTTCAATTCTTAGAATAACACTTTAAAAGTCATTTAACAGATTTTCTCAGTACAATTATTATTTACACACTTCCTTAATAATGCGATCTTCATTCCTTGCAAAAATTTTGCATATACGTTTCTATTTACTTTCTATTTTTTATTGTAATTTATTATATGTGAGCTGTAGTTTTTCTAC